ACATCCAGCGACTATAATTCCACTGGCAGCTCTCTGTATAAATAATTACCGATAAATATAATAATACTCTGTTCTGGAGCGGCTCTTGGGGAAGCTTCATACAAACCCCGTGGCCTACTGCGTCCCAAACGAAGTTTCGTTTAATCTTGGGCGGAACTGAGCGCTCGGCTATGAATGGAGCGTGGAGTCTTGGCTCTGCAAAGCTTCATCCTCCAGTCTACGCTATCTCCATAAGCTGACTATCCATGGATGTAAAAAGTATGACGGGGAAGAAGAAAGATCACACGTACGTTGGATTCGGTAGTGAAGCTGGCACCTGGAGGAGACGTAGGCATTTTCTCAGGATATGATACGACCATGAATGCTAATGAATCTAGCCATTATGCATGAAGTGACAAAAATATCACTTTGGAGCGATTGGAAAGATATAGAAGCATGCGATCACACTGGATGATACGAGTTCGAATTGATGTACAGGTTGGTCGGCGGTGTGGCAGGCGCTTGACTTATTGAAGCTCCGACTGGGTGCGACGGTGGCAACGGCAGCAGCTGAGGCCTCCTGCCTTTGACCAGCGACGCTCCTGGTGCCAATATGATGCGACCTTCTTAATTATGTGCCATCACTGAGATCTGTATTGTGCAGTGTTGTAGGCTGAGCTCCAATATGTATGGGTAAATTCATGTTATTTCTTTCTCTCATGCGTTTGCAGAGCTTAGCCAAACGCTACATATTAGGGTATATTTGACAGAGCATGGGCCACGAAACTGAGGCTCGAAGTGGCGCTGAGATCGCTCGAGATCGTGCTCCACTTGACCTCGAGAGAACGCCGCTGCAGAATAATTTGTTTCCAGGGAGAGACTTGTTAATGATGCGAGTTCCCATCATGGAAGGTAGTGTTTGATGTCCTCCCTCTTCACCGCGGTATGCCCGCGCGATACATTGTATGTTTAGCCCACAGGGTATCCAGGGTACCACCGTACTAGTAGATTTTGATATACACTGGCTCGAAGCATATATCCGCACGCTCCACTTCACTCAGAATACTCGCGTCTGTATCTCGAGCGAACATCATTCAGCCCAAGAAATTTCGCCCTGGGCTCTGTCAAATATACCCTATTCTGTTCCAGTTCCTTGGCTCCCCGCTGACCTCAACATTGCTTACACTTCAACGCCATGCGTGATAGTATCATTAACTATCCCTAGACAGGCATTCGTTACTATCACTCAAAGCTCAGCTGGCATCCGCTGGTATCGTGACTGATCTAGACACTCACATGGTAGGACCACGTCAAGTATTAGCCATACTGACAGCATATTCGAGCTCGAGTCCAGGCTGTCTAGAACTGATTTGTCGCTTGAAGCGTCTCGGCACATCATACTTCCCGGAGCGTTCGCCACTACAACTCATGCCCGGAGTCGGTAGGTTCAACGTTGCGAGCGGGCTTCTGGGTACCCCTCTCCTATATTTCTTCCCAGCGAGTCGCTTCTGTTTGTGGGTGCCCAAGATCACTTCCTTTTCTTACTGTGTGCTGATTCTCGTACTAGCGATGTGGGTGCACGCCGCTCAGGTGGTCTGATGACTGATCTACCTGTTCGCCTGCACCACCGCGTCTGATTGTCATAGGCGGCCTTTCTTCACTGCGTTTGTGGTGGTTGGACGTGCGATACTCTGTGTTGGTAGTATCCTTCCCCATAACTATTGAGTGCTCTCATGATTTACCGTCTTGTGTACAGAGGCGTGGGTATAACACGTTGGTAGATTTACTTGATGCGTGATCAAGCACTCCATGCATGCGTATCCGCACCCGTGCTATGTATTGAATCGATCTGATGGCTGTATTAGTCGATGGTATGTGTCATTCCAGGATTCTAGAATGTTTCCTGAGTAACCCATACTTTACCTACGCTGCTCTTGGCCTTGTCGAGGCCCACACCGTTAGGGAAAGAAAGAAATCGAGCATGGCCTGTTGGGACATCCAGGTGAAGGTCCCTTGCGTCACTGGTGTAGAGACTACAACGAGGGTTGTGTCTCCATGGGCAAATAGCCCATGGAGAGCTCAGCTCTCCCTTTCCCCTTACACGTGATGCTTCCGAGATACAGAGTACATGCGAGGGAGAGGAGCGGACTGGCCGATACCCGAAGAGGATCTGGGCGGGGCAGTCCCGGATAGGCAAGGGCGGACAGGTTGGCGGGCGGGCGTCGATCGGGGAAGGCACGAGAGAGCGGGACGGAAGCATCACG